TATATATATATATATATATATATATATATATATATATTATATATATATATATATATATATATATATATATATATATATATATATATATATATATATATATATATATTATATATATATATATATATATATATATATATATATATATTATATATATATATATATATATATATATATATATATATATATATATATATATATATATATATATATATATATATATATATATATATCTTATGATCTGTATTACGATCCCCCGATTCACGATCTTGTGACCCCTTCCCAATCCTATGTAGGATCTCGATTCTGGCTACCTTGAAGCCACTCCTTGTTTGAGTAATGTTTTGAATCTTTCTGCGTGCATACGATCATCTTATTATCACTTGTCACTTTATGTTATTTAATTTAATATGTTTTATATTTATCTGGTATATTGAAATGATTATGTATCAATTATTTATCAACTATTACTCACCATCTTTGTCGTTACTGTTTTCAGTTTTTTGCAGATTATAATTCCAAGCTGTTGGAATCTTCCAATTATATTACAAGACGGCTAGCTGTTAAGGTGCTGTTTGCATCTAATCCTTACTGTCACTTACTAACTTGTTTGAGTATTGAATGAAGCAAGCATGCAGATCTCTAGGAATTGGAGATTCTTCGTATTGAAAATTTATCTTCGAATCATAGAGTCTTTTCCGTTTGTGTATAATACATTTGCAGTACATTAACTGTTACTGAAATCTAGAAAAACCATCACAGCTGCTAGTCATCAAAAATATATTGAATGCAATGATTCCCTTTGTTTTTTTTTCTTTTTGCTTTAGTTTTGGATGTATTTACGAAACACATTCAAGAACTAGCAGGGAGATGTATGCTTTTTGCAAATGGTAGTCCTACTTGAAAAGTTGAATGAGAATTTAAATGAGAGATTGGAGACGAGTCTTAGAAACATATGGATTTTGTCTAAGCAGAGGTAAGATGAAGTATATGGAATGTAAGCTCGGCAAAATGAGAAACGTTTCTAACCTAGAGATAAAAGTTGGAGATCATATAATACCATAAGTTACGCATAACGTAATATGAAAATATTAGAGAGAGTGCTGGGGTAACACCTACTATAGTAGAAAAGATGATGGAAAAAAGACTTAGACTGTTTTGGCATGTAGAGGAAAGATATGTGGATTTCGTCGTAAGGAAAGTAGATCAGATGAAAAGTAGTCAAACAATTAGAGGTAGAGGAGGACTTAGAATAACTATAAAAGAAGCTATTAAGAAAGATCTTGAGGTTAACGAGTTGGAGAGAAGCATGGTTTTTGAAAGAATATTATGACATAATTTGATCCATGTAACCAAACCCACTTAGTGGGATATGACTTGTTTGTTGTTGTTGATTACCTTTGTTTTTACATCGTGAAATTTGGGTCATTGATCTGTGAAATCTGATGTTATAATTAATATGTACCTTTATTGCTGTTTTTACATTGTTTCATGATGTAGTGACTCATGGAAAATTGCTGAGTTTGATTTTTTTCTCTCTTTCACAGTTGCTGGGAGATATGTTACTTGATCGTTCAAATTCATCCGTAATGACCCGATATGTGAGCTCAAGAGAAAACTTGAGGATTTTGATGAATCTTCTAAGAGTATGGTCCTTTACATAAAACTAAATTACATGCCATATCATTCTTGCCTTTATTCTTTGTTTCCCTTACTCCCTCTTTTCTGTGTATGATGTATTCCTTTCCTCTATCCTTTGCTGTCTTTAGCATATAAAAGGTTATTTGATTCAACAATATATGTAGCCTGTCACCATTCTGGGTATAGTTGCAGTTTCTCTAAGCATCAATATCTGAAAACCAAACACATTTTTCAGATGATAATATGATTAATAAAGATTATTAAGAATTTAATATATGTGCAAAGTGGGTCTGTGATTGGTCGTTGTTGATTTCACTATGCAGGAGTCAAGCAAAAGCATACAGATAGAAGCATTTCACGTTTTCAAGGTATTACAATAATGTTATGTTATATAGCACACTTTTGAAGGTGATTATTCTTGATCTGTGCAGTTATTAACGTTTCCTTTTCAAAACAGCTATTTGCTGCTAACCAAAATAAACCGCCTGATATTATCAGCATTTTTGTTGCAAACAAAAGTAAAATGTTGAGACTATTGGATGAATTCAAAATTGATAAAGGTGAGTGATGCCGTCTCTTGAGTAGTTAATTGTTGCCTTTATCTTGTCAAATATTTTTGATGATTACTTGCTTGTTGCGATTGTGCAGAGGATGAACAGTTTGAAGCTGACAAAGCTCAAGTGATGGAGGAAATTGCTGCTCTTGAAGCTTAGAGAATAACATGCTTGAGTTGCAGACACTGTTAAATGACAAATTGCATTGTGGCATTTTACCTTATTAATGATTTGTGTATTATTACAGCTATGTTAGTCTTCTAGATGAAACTATCATTTCTTACATATTTGAATGCTTCCATTCTGTAATTTTATAGGCGCCCTGTAAAATATTAAATAAATTGTTTAAACACATAAGTTTATGGCTTTTCAGGTGTTAGAAAGTAATAAACATATTCCTAGCTGCCATGTAAATTATAAAATGTACGAGTTCGTGTGATAATCTGACCCTCGTAAAATCATTTTACTCATCCTTTTATACTTTACTGCCATTGTTTCGTTGCACTAGTTAGTGAATATGTGGGAAAGGCCCTGCTATGAAAAGGTTTTCCAGTTTGCTCTCTTCCCAGGCTTGATTGTGTTTGGCACATTACTGTTTTTCCTCACATTCGTCTATTTCAACTGGGATAAATTACCTTCCTTAAAAGCTATGTTATTCGAACATTAAAAGCGTAGATACAGTATATGTTTATTCACATGTACATTTTTAAAGACTTTTTATCTATTATATTATTACACACATAAAACCCAAAAACATTGTACCTCGATCCGTATATTACGAAACATGACTAAAATTTCGTAACATAAAATTATGTTGAAAAAGTATATCCTTACTATTTTGGTAACATAAACAATCGTGTGGCGGAAACAAATTTGGAAAAAGTGTGTCACGGGAGTATAAAGCATCAGCATAGTTATAGCATATTCCTTATGCCATTTACTTGAGTTAGAATCTGAAGCAATAAGTCCATCTTACTATAGGATATCATTAATTAAAAACCCAAACTGATTTGATTTAGATCAAGATCCGTGTCGTTCAAATTATTTAAATTACTTTTTAAGTTTTTAAAAACAAAATAATGACAAAAATATATCTTAGTTCAAATTACAGTAAACAAAAATGCTTCGGCGGCATCTGAAAAATAATCTTATTATAATGATCGGTATGGCACATGAAATAAAGTATTACTTTTTGTAATGATGGTATACAAAAATTTAACTTACACTTTACATAAAGTATTTGAAAATTTATACATTTTATTTGGTCTATAAAATATCTCTTTTTGAGTGGTTCTGATACATTGATTATTGACTATGTAAAAAGTTTTATACTAACTTGTATAATAATTAATTTTTTAATATAAAAATTAAAATAATATTTTATGTTAGATCTGTGCATGTAATTTGTTCACCATATACTTGAATTAATGACATATTTTAGTGAGGAATTAACATGTTATCCCATTGGTTATACATGTCAACTCTTTAAAGATATGTTTTTACCATTATATTCTTATGAATAAATAATAAATTTAAAAAAATATGAGTTTTATCAGAAATTTGGAGATGTTCAGAAATTTTGGTATTTTTGAAAAGAAATTTTGAAATTTTCAATGCGATACTGAAAATTTCAGTATATTTCAAAATTTTCAAAAAAAAAGAAAACTTGGAAATTTTCGGAGAAAAAACTGAATTTTTCAAAAAAAAATCAGAATTTTTTCGAAAAAAGAAATTTAATATCAAATATTTTAGTGTATTTGAAATTTAAAATATTAAAATTTTTGATATTGAAATTTTTTTATTTTTTCAAAAACTTTACTGAAAATTTCGTAAAATCTATTAGAAATTTCAACGAGTCTATCAAAAATTTCATTTAAAAATTATTTATAACTCAATTAAGAGTATTTTTAAAATAAAAAAAATTAGAGAATAACATGTTTAATTTTGGAAATTACATGTTAATTTCTCTATTTTAATATAGTAGTTCAATGCAAATTCTATTTGGTATAAAATATTTAATAATATGTATTGGCATTAATATTTTATTGAAAAATATATGACATATTGTTTTATTTTTTTAAAAATAGTGTGTTTTTTAATTTAAAAAAATGATTTTTATAAAATAATTTTTATAATATTATAAGTTTTTTTAGATTTATTTTTTATAAATTGAAACATTATTTTCGTTAACTCAAACAGTAATTTTACAAAAATATAAAGTTATGGAATCAAATCTATGACATCTCACTTATTCATCTTTAGAAGGTGAACACCAACCACTATACTATGATAAAAAAAATTAATTTTAATATTATAAATATAAATATAATTATTGAAATTTAAAACATATATATATATATATATATATATATATATATATATATATATATATATATATATATATATATATATATATATATATATATATATATATATATATATAAAATAAATTTTTATAAAAATATTTGAAATAGTTTTAAATTTAAAAGCATTTTTTGAAATTTTGATATAAAAAATATATCAAAATCAAAAACATAAAATAATATTTTAAAAATAATTATTTAAATTTTTTATAAAAAACTTCAACAAAAATATATTACTATATAAAAATTACTTTAAAAAAATCCAAACAAAAAGATCAATTATATATTATTTATTGTTATTAGAATATGACAATAGTTTATTCCATGGTAAATTCTGTTATAAAACCAAAAATTGATTGAGTATGCACTTCACTTCACTAACCGATAGATAGAAGCTAGTGCAGCGGTGAGTGCGTTAACGCAAAAAGAAGGATCAATCAAGAAAAAAACACAGCCTCTCACTCAAGTTCATACTCTCTCTCTCTATCTCCAGTTCCAAAAGAAAATGGTTGACAACAATGGTACTACCTTCTCTCTCTCGTTTGAATTTGTAATGTTGAGATCGTATAGTAATTACTAACTCATTCCTCGCTGAACTGTAGAATCCCTCTCTCAGTTCCTCGCATCTGCAGTCGATGCTGCTCAAAAAGCTGGCGACGTTAGTTCTTTCTTATTTCAACTCTCTCCATTCCCTTTTTCTCTTCATTTATCACTATCAATTATATATCAATTTTTTTCAGCTTATTCGAAAAGGATTTTACCAAATCAAACATGTCGAACACAAAGGATCGGTTTGTTTCAATTCTCTTCTACTTTATTTTCCGCTTAATTTTCTTCCTTCATTTAATGTCAATGTTATTTTCGGTAAATCATACCTTTTCTTTTCGTTCTCAATTTTCTTCTATAGTATTGCAATTGTTGTTGATTTCACCTGATACCTTAAGCGATTAGGTTTATGGGTTCTCTCAATACGGGCATTTTTAGTTATCAACGTGTGTAAAAAGAATAAATCGTTATTGTTTTTTCATAGTGTTTTACCTTTGCTGTGGCGCACAGGTTGATTTGGTAACTGAAACTGATAAAGCATGTGAAGAACTAATATTTAATCATCTCAAGCAGCTTTATCCCACTCATAAGGTTCATCCGCCTCTTCCTCCAATGATGTATTCATGTTTTATATTGGTGGTTATTATTGCCGATTGCCGTTTTATATTTCCTGAAAAGTTCATTTATATTTGTGAACTCATTAGTTCATTGGGGAAGAAACTACAGCTGCATTTGGTACTACAGAACTTACAGACGATCCAACATGGATTGTTGATCCCTTGGATGGAACTACTAATTTTGTGCACGGGTAATCATCAATTCTTATATTATCGTTGATGGTGATTGAGGATACACTCATATTTACCTATTGATGGACTAAAAATTATACTATATGTAGATTCCCCTTCGTTTGTGTCTCCATTGGTCTTACAATTGGAAAAGTTCCAACAGTTGGTGTTGTGTACAATCCGATAATTAATGAGGTATGGAATCTTCCCTCTTGAACATGCTTTATAATTAGTTTTGGAGACTTGACTTGGAGTAATTAATTTTGGCATATGATTCAACAAGGATTATGAGCATTGGGTTTATGTTAAGTTTCCTTTCTTGCTCGGTATGCTCATTGAAATATGGGATTGTTGTATGTAGCTTTTCACTGCAGTCCATGGAAAAGGAGCTTTTTTGAATGGGAACCTTATAAAAGGTGTGTCCTCTGTTTTTCATCTTTTGATAACTTGTTATTACTATAGATAACATACTTATGTCTTCTTGAATTTCACAGTATCGTCACAAACTGAGCTGATGAGCTCTCTTCTTGCAACTGAGGTATGTCAAGGCTGTTATAATTGATTATGTAAAATCTATTAAATTGTTTTTATTTGCATCAATGAAGTGTATTACTCTCCCTCCCTCTCCTTATCATGTACCCATGTCGATGGCAAACATGCTCTGAAGCATGGGTACTACTAATATGATGAAGTACCTGCACCGGGTATGTACTCGTACCGGGTGCATGTACCATACTCTTGGTACTTCGTTGTTTCTTATTATTATGCTTCAACTGAAATTTGTGGTTTTCTCATATATTAATATTATATATTATGCATTTTAGTTTCTTTGTTATTGTAATTTAACACAATTTTTGACTGTTTAACCTTTTATTGTGATCTTTTGTTTTGTTTTGAATTGAATAATTTAATTCTTCAGTATCAATCATATAGAGAAACTCGTAGTTTTTTATTGACGTACCCGTACCTTGATTTTTTTTTTAAATGTCGGTATCCTGTACTAGTACCTGCTCTGCTCGTATCTATGCACCATAGCAAACATGGAACTCGGAAACCTACAATACCAATGCGTGGAATGAACCTCAAGTGAGAATAGCTCAATCAGTTAATCAAAGGCATACAAACAAATGACACATAACTTGACAGTGTAATGGTTATGATCCCTAAGTATGACCATCTAAGGCATTTTGACCATCTTAGTATGTCCTAATTCGACTTATACCTGACTTATCTAAGTGACATTGTGATAGAGCGTTGGTTGTGTCCAAACCATTAGAAGGGGATGTTTTAGTGGGCTTAAGGCAGGATAAGCCCAGGGTGTGGATTCGCCGCAATGGTAAATATGATCCAATATTGCGGGTTTTTTCTGCCATAATCATCTATAACGGCTTGGTATGGTGGGATTTTGGCTCTCCGCCATGGACAACACTGAGTGTGACCATCTGAGACATTTTGACCATCT